CCTGCATCTCCAATCACTGCCATGGCCTTTCCAAGTGCAATCACTATTCTATTCCTGTTAGTCTTGATCCCCTTCTGGGCCTTCTCCACTGCCGCCCCGTCTGCTGCTCCGTCTGCCGCTCCTTCTGCAGCCCCACCTGCTGCCCCGTATGCTGCTCCGCTTGCTGCTCCTGCTGCCGCTCCGTCTGCCGCTCCATCTGCCGCTCGGTCTGCTGCCCCATCAGCCGCTCGGTCTACCGCCCCGTCTGTTGCCCCGTCGACTTCTTCATCAGGGACTTCTCCATTCTTATTCTCTACTAAACGGTTCCTGAATCAATCAATTCTGGTTTTAGAGTTTATTATAATTTTTGGGGAGCTTGTCAGAACCCAAACTTGAAGGTTTAACAAATATAAAAGCAGCATAAGACACAAATGAGTTAGTGGATCTAGGATCAATTAGTACTTTAGGCATTCCGTTGGAGATAGAAATTTTACCTCTAATTACGGCTGGATTTCTTTGGACTTGCTCATTCTAGGCATATATATACTCTTCCAACTACCTCCTGTGTTTTTTTCGTCTGCTTGATCCTCACTACAATTTCTTGTTAAATGTCTTGGCTTCTCACATTGGAAACATGCACCCCTTTTCTTGTAACAGTCTTTGCCTTATGTTTCTGATGGCACACTTTGAATTCCAGAGCTTCTACTTTATTGATGAACACCCCCTTTCTTGTACCCTTCTGCTCAACCCTCTTATTCTGAGGTCGGATATAGTTGATGACTGCTTTACCTTTGCCTCCCTGTTCAGTAATTTTTTTCCTTCTTAGCATTTTGGTATTGCTCAATTACTTAAGCCTTTTACACATCAGAAAGCCCCTAAGCAGTATGTTCCTATCTCTCGGGTTCTCAGTTTTCACCAGGTGCCTAGGTTACTATGGTAACAGCTTTCTCATAGGTAAGCTAATCAATCCTAAAGCCAATCCTAAGGCCATGACAATAGTAAGCTGGAGAGATATTATTTCAGCAAGGGAATAGCCAACCTCCCATCTCTTAATGTTAAACAGAAAACCCCCAATCTACTCCGACCTTCTAAGTATATAGAGAAGTGTCTAAAACTTCAAAACTATATTACCCTTCTCTCACCGTGCAATCACATGCCATGTGTATGTTTGCCTATCATTAGCCTACCAAGCCATTTATTCAGTAAACATTATTAAGAATTTATTCCCTAAACTTCTCTTAGCAGTACAAGACCTCAACTATTAAGTTTTTAACATTTAAGAACTAAACTTCTAATATTTTTACATTTAAGGATAGCAATGTTTCATTATCTGTGTGACTAGGCTCAACAAGGGCTAGGTCCAAATTTGATGACTGTTGAACAATGGGGTCTTGTTTCTGCTGGCAGAAAAAGGGAGCATTATAGAAGAGGCAGTTGTTCCTTCCAGACCATTTGGGGGAGTAGAAAAGATTAGTTTATGTTTTGGTTCCTTCCAAGCAGCAGGTTGTTGGTACTCCTTGCTTACAGAGAGAATTGGTCTAGGTTAGTATCATTTTGTGCTCTCACTGGGGTAGAGTAGCAGCTACCTTGGTTTGCACACAATTTATGCATGGTTTTCTGACTAGTCTCCGGGGAGATGGGCAGAACAAGGTTACTAGAAGTTGTCCTATAAGTATTCTGTGCCGTTCCAACCTTAATTCTCAGTCCCTTGAGCTGGGGAGCCCTCAATGATTCATCATACAAAGGCTTATCAGGATCCAAAATAGACATAACTTTTCCTCACCACAGATTTTCTCAACATGGCCTAATCTACCACACCTGTGACAAAAATCACGTAGTTTTTCATACTTGAGATTTATCCATCTATGACCTTATTCGAATGAGACCAAAAGCCAGCTGTAAGCGGTTTCAGAACCTCAATTTGGATTTTACACATCAGAAAGCCCCTCAGCAGTATGTTCCTATCTCTCAGGTTCTCAGCTTTCACCAGGATGCGTAGGTTACTATGGTAACAGCTTTCTCATAGGTAAGCTAATCAATCCTAAAGCCAATCCTAAGGCCGTGACAATAGGAAGCTAGAGAGATATATTTCAGCAGGGGAATAGCCAACCTCCCATCTCTTAATGTTAAATACAAAACCCCCAATGGACCAAGGCGAATTTTCTAAGTGATGCAGGAGCTTAGAGTTTTTTTTAATTATTTGTTTTAGTTTGAGTTTTAATTATTTGTTTTAGTTTTAGAAAAGTAATTGAGATAGCATGTGACTTTAATTAGGATTAGAATTTGTAACTTATTAGAAGTTCAAATTAGAATTGAATTAAATTCAAGCTTTTAAATTTGATAGTAAACTATCATGTTTATTGGATTGATCCATAAAAAAATAGTTGATAGAGGGAAAATTAATAAAAAAAATTATTAAGTGTGTTTAATAGAAAGAAAATTGTAAGAGAACTTTTTTTTGCTTATAGAAAAGTGTGCGGAAAGTTTGCCTTAAAACTAAATACCCCTAAATGGAAAGTTTTGTGCGTGGTGAAGTTTATCTATCAAAGTTTGGGTTTTGATTAATGCTAATGGGTTTTCAATTTCATTTCAGCTTTTTTGCTTTCAACAATTCTGACAATAATAAGGACCTATCAATTGACCTTTGTTTTTATCTGTGGTTTGCAGTTGAGGTTAGTGAAGCTAATCGAAAATGCAGCATACCAATCCATGGAAATTGCACATACAAATACTGCTGTTGGGATCTCTGCAAAAAGCAGATACGGTACGCGACGACCGTGGATGCGGCTTATAGGTCCATTAATGGCGCCCATCAGTGCTTCTGTACCGTGATATATAATGGTAAGCCAGGTCCTTGTCCTTAGGCGCCATAAGTGTCATTGATGGCGCTCATCGGTGCTACTGTCACGCGATATATAGAGGTAAGCCAGGTTCTTGTGCGCCATGAGTGTGGGCAATAGCAAGGATTTTGGCTGACAAAACTTAGAATTTTGCTTCTTACATCAATCTGGATATCATGAATAACTGCACCCTCTGACTTGAAAACCTACTGGTGAAACCTCCTATTCCTCTCCATCCACACATGGTAGAATCTTCTTACCCAGCCAATGCATTAGGCTTTGCCAAGAATCAGTAAAAGGTATACCAG